CCCACTCCTGTCGGGGACTTTGGACCCCCCGTCGGGGAAATCCTGCCTTCGCCACTGGTTACAGACGAATCAGGGTGCATTGCTAGTTGACCTCACGCAATCGGGAAGGCACCCCGATTCGTGTGCAACATAATCGGTGAAGTTGAACCAGGTTCAACCACGGGCCTATTATTAATGTTAATAATAATTAATAATATTAATAATGGTTCAAAAAACAGCTTTAAACCTGGTTTCTATATAATCGCTACACTCTCGCTACTCAGTGTTTTCAGTGCAACCTTTGTATTACGTAGCAGTCCCCAACGCAATCGGGAAGGCTCTCCGCTTTGACTGACCAATCAGCATCACCGAAAGCTGCCCGGCAATAGCGTGTAGCGATTGTATGAAAACCAGGCTTAAGTCAACCAGTCATATCAAGTCGTTTGCAAGTACAGTAATTGCATCACACATTGGAACGCGCGGTTCCATGTCAAACTCAGTGATGCGCTTGGGTATGTTGACTGGCAACTTTGATCGTGTGCCTAAGTGGTGTTGAATGTGTTCTATTTTTAATAGAGCGATGACACCACACCTCACTTACTTGTGTTTTCTTTTGTACTGTTTGCCTCGGGTGGCCTCTGTCAAAACAATTGTATGTGTAACGGACACCTCGTCTGACGTGCCTAAATTAAGTGTTTTTGATGTTTTTGTTTTCCTGTGGGGTTAATTCACGTCATTCATGTTTTTGCAGGTTCTTATATCAGTGATAAAAGTACTCTAGATGCATACGTTGTTTCCCTGTATTGGGCTGTGGCAACTACAACATCAACCGGGTACGTATTTTCACAAACCACTGTTCAGTTTGAGGACCAAACGGATAAGCATGCATTAATTTCAAATACAACAAATACATCGCATGAAGCATTAAGGGACACACCTGATTATAAAGTTTACATTGGGACAGATGTGTTCCATATACAGTAATTAAATACTGTACTAACAGTAATGCGGTACTGCCTTGGAGGGATGTTGGTACTACTTTCTGTAACAACTATTGAGCTAACTTAAGCTCGTGGACTGCAAACATTAGAGAGATTTAGCAACCTTACAAACACGATAACGAATAGGCCTACGTCATTATCATTATCGTCATTCGTGCCTAAAAAACATTCTTGACAATATGTTGTAGGGGCTGAATATGATCTTTGATTCATGCAAAGTGCATGAATCGCTTACGTTGTGACAGATAAGCTACTCTAGGGGAAGAGTTGCCTAAAACAATTATGACGTACCCGTATTCGTTACCGTATCGTTTTCTTAAGATTGTGAAAACTCTGTATTAACATTCCCAAGACTTGTGTTATATTAGAAGTTCAGTATCAGCGGCGATTTTGATATAAGCAAACATCTGATCCCTCATAAAAGGCCTACGTTATTAATCTAACGGAAGTGTTATGAATAGGTTATTCCATAATTATTTGCACGACTTCCTTTTTAATCCTGCAGATGTGCCTCTAACGTAGACCTATATTATGTGTGTTTCGTTGGGAATTCTACATAATCCCCTCGTATTAAAAGTTAATATCAACTTAGGCCTTCGACGTCAAGCGCATATAAATCATTGGAGCTCCAATAAATAGCGATGGTATCTCATAGTACATCACATACCGTACTATTGCACTGCACTAATCCGTAACTACAGTATATAAATATTCTATATAGTATACGAACCCATGGTCTAGTTGTCTATTTCCCTTCCCGTCGACAATCACCTTCGACAATCGTGGCATTTACGATTAATGTGAATACTATTATAACCATTAATATCATATTTTACATTATTACGTGACATGCACATTCTTATCAAAATTGCTGTTTTAAAATTTAATTATCAGTTGCAAATATATTTTTCTAAATTGGAAGAGGCCTCAGTTCGTTTTGAACACGACCTAGGCTATATGTAAGTTAGAAAATTTATCTCTTAAATATTGTATGAATAGCCTACTTTTCACAGCTAATAGGCCTGGATAGAGCCTTAAATACAGGGTGCAAAACAGGGCACGTGCCCTGGACACGAACTAAAGGGGAGAGGGGCGCCAAAATGAGCCTAGTCAAAAATATACAGCGGCTTCTAAATACTGAAGAGTGCTTTAAAACTATTTCCATTATATAGCTAAAATATATAGAAATTATGATGTTAAAGACACAAAAATATAATTATTTTAAACTAAATAATGTTTCATAATAAAATATTTGCCCAAAATAATCATAATAAAGAAAGTAAAGTTCGGTTTTCATTAAATTCGCTACACGATATCGCCGACTCCTTGGCAACGCTGATTTGTCAGTTGAATATGAGGGAGCGTTCCCGATTGCGTAGCCTACCGTCGGGGACAGCTACGCAGTGCAAAGATTGCAGTGAAAACGCTGTAGCGACTGTGTAGCGAATGTATGAAAACTGAGCTTTATACTCCACTAAAAGGCATAGGGGGACACGTCACTCCCACTTTTCAAGGTAGGGGGAATCATGTCGATTGTCACCCCTCCCTTTTCACAAAACCCCACTTTTCAAAGCGAGTGTAAAGAGCAACAACAACGAATGACTGTCGTGAATTTTGTCTGTTCACTTTTGCACTGTTCAAAGTGCGGTGCATATTTCCGGACCAAAGTCGAGTAAAAACGCAATTGTTTGTACATTTCGTATCTCAGTAACCACGCCATCGATTTTATGGGTGCAACGGTTTTCAGAGACTAAATTTATTGTGAAAATGTACTGTACCGGTACGTTGTTAAAATTGGAAGCGTGTAAAGCTATTAGGACAACATTTTTACAAACTCAAAAGTGCACAATTTCTACTCAGGGGTGGCGCCAGCAGGGGGCCGGGATGTCAGGGCCCCCGTCAGGGAGAG